GAAGAAGAAATAGATAATTATTAGATTTTAAATTGATCCAATAAAATATCAAGTGTTCACACAATGAGTTTCTTTCAAGTGTAGCAAAACATGAGACTTTGCTGGCATCGTTTTGCTGGAATGCTTTCTTCGCACATTTGGATGAGGGAGGAATTTGGGTCAGACAATAAGAAAAACTTCCTGCTCTTTGAAATAGTACCAAGTAATCTTTAATGCCCACCAGAACAAAAGCACAGGCTGACAGCACCTATGTTTAATACCTCATGTGTAAAAGAGTTCCTCAAACAATGCTGCTAGATTTATGAACCTAAACCCATAAGCTTCTGACCCACAAATGTTAGTGCTGGCAAACTACCAGATGAGCTGGTATTAGTAAGACTAAAGGTATTTGAAAACATGTTAATTTCAGGGTGGGGTGGGAAGATGGAGATGATTGCTTAGATTTGAGGTTTGTCAATATTTGGAAGTGAAACCCCTGTGTTAGCACAATTCCCACAAAAAATAAAATTATTCGCATCACACGTCGGAGAAGCAATTTGTCCCCATTCTGTTTTTGTGTTCCCTGTTCCCTATGAATTCTCATAGTAACTTGCAGCGATTGGGTTGTTGTACTTTATTGTTGACGTTTGTTGCTTGCTTTTGTTCAACAGTTTTTGTGTTTTTATTTTAGTGCTTGTCAATTGAAGTTTGTGTTCATCTCCCATTAAGAGCACATTTTAAAAAAACTGCTTTACTCAGCTAGAACTTAAAGTTTTGGGGTTTTTGAAAAACATCTTTTACTTCAACTGTTGCGGGTCTAATTTTAGTATGGACCAGCGATCTGCAGTATTTGCATTAGACAAAACCAAACTACTAAAATCTCTCCTACCCTGGAGATGTCAGTCTAGCACAGCTAATAGCATTCTTGCCTTTGAGCGTGAAGATGGTGGATTCAAGCCCCATGTAGGAGACTATAGTAATAACAATAATAATAATCTTTGCATTTGGTATAGCGCTTTTCATGTTTTCTAGACGTCTCAAAGCGCTTCACAGAATAGACTGTAAAGTGAATTGACTATATATTTGTGAGCGAAACGCGGCAGCCAATTGCTCACAGCAGTGTCCCACAAATAGTCGTGGATTGAAAATGACCAGGTTATTATTGTTTTGTTTTGGAGGGATTATTATTAGGCGTGTGGAGTAAGGAAACTTGCCCAAGGTTTCGCCCTGTCTGGAATTGAACCCAGGTGTCTCGCTTGCAAGGCGAGTGCTCTAACCACTGAGCTACAGGACTCTACAGTGACTACAGTGTTAGGTAGAGAGATTTGGGAGATGAACCAGTAATCACACACAAATAAACACAAGGATACAAAAGTATATCTGTATAATAATAATCCTTGCATTTGATATAGCGCTTTTCACGTCGGGAGGACGTCCCAAAGCGCTTCACAGAACGCACTGTAAAGTGAATTGACTGTATATTTGTGGGCGAACGCGGCAGCCAATTCAGCACAGCAATGTCCCACAAACAGTCGTAGATTGAAATTGACCAATTTATTATTGTTTTTGGTTTTGGAGGGATTATTATTAGGCTCTGTGTGGAGTTAAGCCAACAACACTATACATAACTATGTATAACTAAGATGCTAAAATATATTTTTCTATAAACATTGTTCAAGATTTTTAGAGTATTTGCCTGCTATATCATTAATAAATATGCCTGTGAACACTATCCACTTATAGTGTTAGCCTGGCACAGTGCTGGCACTCTCACTTCTGAGTCAGAAAGTTGTGGGTTCAAGCCCCATGTTGGGACTTCGAATCACATAGTCTGAGCTGACATTCCAATACATTGCTGGGGGTGTCAGAAGTGTTGTTCTTCGTATGAGATATTAAACCAAAGTCCCATCTGTCTGTTCAGCTGGATGTTAAAGATCCCATGACACTATTCAAAAAGAGAAGGGAGTTTCTCTCGGTATCCTGTACAACAATCCTGCAAATAAAATTGGCCACTCACTCCATGGCTGTTTATGGGACCTTGCAGTGTACTGCTGGTTGCTGTGTTTTGGCCACAACATACACAATATATCCTGTGAAGTGCTTTGAGATGTCTCAATGATGTGATAAGGTGCTATATCAAATGCAAGGATTATTATTATCCAGAAGCTCCAGTATGTAGAAGAGATATGTAAAAGATGCCTTGATCTTTGCTAGGCGACCTGGATAGGCTCTAGAAGTTGTAATACTGGTTTTGTCAGTGACTAGTCATTGCAGCATCTTAGGTTTATTCTATGCTAGTGCAATTTGGGTAAGATGGACAGTTCATTTAAGACATTTCCATTGTTCAGAGTTGAGCGATGATTCTAACAGTAACCTCTCTGTAATTCTGCTTTTGGCAAGTGTACAATAAGTCTATATAGAAGGGGAAAGCTTGCTTGTGGTTCTTGGTTAACAATTGAGTTGCAAGCAGTCTTTCAGCCAAAGACACTGCAGTAAATCAGGGAAATGACATAAGTGAGGAATTGCTCCATTTTTATTTAACCTTGAAAAAGTAGGTAAGTGAAAGTGGCATTGAAAATATTTGGATTTCAGCATTTGAAATAACAAAGCTTAAACATTCCTGCTTAAACACTCTAAAGTTTATTCCATGCATCAAATGTCAGTAACCACCTGTTAGATATATTGTTTTCCATAACATGAACATATCTGTTGCAGTGTGAAGTACTTTGAAAGTGCGTACGCTTAGAGCTCGTGTACTTTGAGGCCTTGTGTGGATGTTGCGAATGTACATCATTTGTGAAAATGTGAAAATAATCTCTGTATTCACTTCTTGGCACATCGGCATCTACTTCACCAATGAGCGGAACTTCACTGTTGCGACAAGTTGTTTCCTGTCGGTTTGCTTTCTGGGATGCTATAATCCAACTAAACCTCAAAAAAATACCCATGACCCCTCCAACCTTACAAATTTCCAACATACCCTTCCTTGTTAAAGCTTTGGAACGCATTGTTGCTAACTGATTTAGCTCACACCTCTCCCTCCACTCCCTCCTCGAGGCCCTCGAGTCTGATTTTCACCTTGCCCATAGCACAGAGACAGCACTTGTCAAGGTCATAAACAGCTGATCCAAAACTCCCCAGCCTGAATACCCACCCACAGTAAACTCCGTACACCCATTACGCCAATTCTAACCAGGTTCCACTGGCTCCCTATCGCCGAATGGATCGTTTTCAAGGTCTTCACACTTGTTTTCAAATCCTATCGGTGGCCCCGCTTTCAGCTACTATGCCCTGAAACTCTGGAACACTCTTCCTCTCTCTTTCTGCATTTCCCCTTCCTTCCCCATCTTCAGATCGTGCCTAAACACCTTCCTGTTCGACTGTGCCTACAGGCACCCCTCTCCTTCTGCCGGCTAATCATTCATGCTCCATCACTGTCAAGCGCTCTGGGATGCTACCCTTCGTGATGGACGCTATATTGAATGGAAGTTGTTGTACTGCTGAGATCTGTTGCATCATGCTGTGTAGACAGTTCAGAGTATCTTCTTGGCACACAAACAGTTCACAAATGAAAAATATGCATCTTTATTATGAAATCCAAATAGTGATCCAAATAATGAATTATTCAATTTGTAATTTCCATTGACAAATTACCTTTTTAAAAAAACTGTTATTTGTCTTCCAAATGTCTGTTTGCCAGTAAAAGCTTGAAATACATTTTTTGTAGAGGAGGGCTACAGAAAACAAAGGTATATTTTGAGTATCCAGAGGGTAAAACCTCCACCTCTGACACATTTCATGTCAGAAGGATATCTCATACAAATTTAAACATACAAATTTTGGGTAATTCTCCTATGTATGAAATGGGCTAATGGTTGAAACCTATTTTGACATTGTTTATGGTCCACTCAATCTTAAAAGATTTTACAGTGCTGTATGTTTTGTTCTGCAATTCATGCTCCTGTAGATAGGAAGATCCAACCCTCTGTTTACAGAATAATAATTATTGTATAAATACATCACTACATTAAAGTTTTACATTAGAACAGGCAGTGGTATCCATCACGTTTCTCTTATTTGACCTCTGGTGATGGTTGGAAATCTAGTCTGAATGATTAATCACAAGATTACTTGTTGGATATTTGTTTGTGTAGGAACCACTATCTGGAACTGAAGCGTACTCTCTCACTGTAGGTTTGCCAAGAAAATTGTAACTGTTGTAAAGTGAATTTAATGCCTGATAAAATTTGCATCTGTTTTGCTCCCCTATTGGCTTACATGTAAATGCATCATATGGTGTTATACTGAACCATACTAACTGGGACATTCCCAGGCACAAACGCTGTGCTAAGTTAGCTGATCATTGAACCATTCTGCCCCACTTTCTGAAGCTCCATCCTGGAATCCCTCCGACTTTCCCCCACCCACAATAGTAAAAAGTAACAGTTTCAAAGCTTATCCTGAGACTTGTCTCTGCATTTTTTCATCCTTTCTGCTGCCCCCCCCCCCCCCCCCCCCCCGACATGAAAGCATTTCAAGACGATGCCCTGTATGAAGGGCGCTATTTAAATCTAAATGAACCATCATTTGTTGCAAATTCAATTCCTGATGTAAGATGGGAACAAAAACTAATCATCCTCAATCTCGGAAATAGTTTCTTTTAAAACAGAATATTTTTACTAATGTTTCTCTTTTTACAAGGAACACCTTATATGTGCTTATTGTTTTGAACATCCTGTATAGTGTAGTTTTGTACTAATGAATAAACATTTGGAAGGCAAAGAATAGATTATGCAAAAGGAATAATAATGGCAGTTTGTTAGGAGTGACGTTTTCTTATTCAGTATAAGGAGTGGTACCTGAAAATGGAAACGTTTGAGAGAGCTCCTGTTATTGTGGCAGTGCGTCATTGGGTGGGGTTTGCTGACGTGGACTATCATTACATTTAGTTTTGAGTCATTTAACTAACTCTCATAAAATGTGAGGAAATCTTGGAACAAGAACTGCATTTATCTAGCCATATTCACTTGGCATAACATCTCAGAGAGCTTTGCAGTGACCTGGTCAGATGCTGATTGAGGGGGAGTGACCATAGGTGCAGTTGAAGAGGTAGGTTTTAAGTTGAGATTTTAAGACAAATAGGGAGAGAGGCAGCTAAAGGCTCTGTCACCCATGGTCATGTGAAGAGGGCAAGGTACAAACAGTTACGTTTCAAAAGTAGCTGAGCAGAGGAGGGGAAATAACTCTATCCTTATTTCACAAGTCAGGAGGGATATTTTATAGCAATTTGTTATAGGATGGAAAGGACTAGAAAGTGGCAAACCTAGAGTAACATTTTAATTAACTGTAGCAAAATTAACTATTTGAATGATTTCCTATTGCTCAGGACTGCTTTGGATGAAATTGGCAAATTGTTGTTCAAAGACTGAATGGGTTCTGGATTAATTGAAGATATTAATTTGATTCTTGGGCTTTGATCTGTCCAATTTTTAAAAATAAAATTACAGTGCATGATCCAGGAACAAATACATTTAAAGACTTTCATATACTCTATGGTTATCGTCCTAATTAAATTATAGTGAGGCTTAATGTGCGTTATTTGTTTTTATCTTTTTTACACTTTCATTTGGAACTCGTATGGATGATACTTTTGACAAATTGTATTGTGATGTATGAAATCTTACTGATAATTAAAGTCAGCAAAAACTTCAGGGCTTTGTACAGACTGAGTCTGGAAATTAATCTGAGTTCTAGTTTTTTTTTAAAAACGTTTAAAACATCCAATGCGACTGGACTGTTGCTAATGTTCCCTCATTAGTTCAACTCATCCAAATCCCATACTCTTTACCCATACCTTTTATGTATTTTTCAAGTATTTTTCCAATTCTCTTTTAAGTTATGTTGTGGACTTCAGCAGTCATTTATTGTAAGACATTTCACATCAACAAGAGTAAAATAAATTATTTGAACCTCCCCTGATTTCTTATGGTGGTAACCCTCAAGTAATTTTTGCAACCTGTATAGTGCCTTGTGTTGAAACATCTTGAAGCATTTCACTGATTTTTCTCTAAAATGCAGTGACTGTATTTGTAGATGAACATGGCAACCAATTGGCATGCAGCAGTGTCCAACAAACGGCCTGGAAGTAAATTAGTTTTTTTCTTGCGAGGAGAATCTCTATTGGAATAGTGCTACTAAAGCTTTAACATCCACCTGAATAGGCAGAGGTATCTCGGTTTAATATCTAATCTAACTTAACATCTTCTGATGCCTCAGTTCTTAATTCTTGGTACACACCACACGTTTTGGGAGTGGGCTGAGCCAATCCCCATTCCAAACAGCAGTTGTCACAGGTGTGACTTCCTTTTAGAACTTTTTATTGAATGACGTTGTGCCACCTCTATTTTCCAGTAAGTGTAAAAGGCTCTGAAATTGTGACCTGGTTTTGTTTCCTTAGGTGTCAGAAAGATATATTTCATGCAATATTAAGTACAAAATTGTTAATTGTTTGTTGAGTCGTTTGGCAGGTTGCAGTTGATGGTTATGATAGCTTGTCTATTCACATTGCTGATCTAAATGTAGTGTATAGTAATGTTAACATTGTAATAGTATTAGTGAGAACATTGTTTTAAGGGTGAAATCTTTAGAGGGACAGCATTTATATAGTGGTTTCAAGTTTTCTTGTTGCTTTTGTATTAGCAACTTGGCTCAGTTGGTAGCATTTTCACTTCTAGGTTGCATCTTCTTTAAGCCCCACATGAAGATAAAATGTAAGGATTATTTGAAATAATCTAGGATGACACAAGGCAGTAGTGAAGGTGATGAGATCCATTGGCAGAGATTCACTAGTTTTTCAGATGGGACATTTAACCATGTTCTGTCTATTGAGATGAAGATTAAAGATTCTGTGACACTATACAAAATATTCTTTCAATATCCTAGCCAACAATCCTATTATTCATAATTTCATTGCTGTTTGTGGGACTCCTTGCACAAATGGCTGTTGTTTGCCTGCCCACAAAATATACAGTCAATTCACTTTACCGTATTTTCTGTGAAGCATAAGAAGTTTGTGTAAAAAAAGTAAATTTCACCATGATGCAGCAGAGGGTGCTCTTTCTGAAGCTGGGGTTAAGAACCGAACAGTTGTGTATTATATAAGTAGCATTGCTGCTCATTGAAGTCAGAAAAACTGCTGCTGAAGTTTGTATAAAAGAATTTTATACTGTCATCCAGTCCCACTCAGAGGGTCAACTGCTGCAAGGCCTTGGCTGCATCTGCACCCCCAACATCAACTTTTTACTATTTGAATAAGTCCCAGTGTTGAAGCAAAGATGAGGCGCTTTATTATGCTGTACTAAACTTCAGAGAACTTGTTGACTCAGTTAAAAAAACAGAAAGGCATTTTGGTTCAAGTTTTAAATAAGTCATAAAAAAAATTGAAAGCTGACCAGCTGTTCTTCCCTTAGTGCATATCCAGGCTTTACATTTTAGATTTGACTATATCCCAATATAGTCTTAATATGAACTCTGTGCTTTTAAATCAGCCTGCCTTAAAATCCTATTTTCTAAACCTTACCTTTGTCTACTCTGGTGCACATCCTGAGATTTACTTTAGATGAATGCAATCTATTTAACTTTCGTCTCATCAGATAGCTGGTTAATCCACCTTGAACCTTGCTTGGAACATTTCACCAACAGCCGATTAGCCTCACAGCCATAGTATAAGGTGTTTTCCCTGCAGCACATCAGGGCATTTGGATTTTGGATTAATTCAGAACATGTTCAATTGATTTTGGTTTTCTAAATTAATCTGTCCTGTCAAATCATCTCCCTCACAAACTGAACTTGGCCCTACTGACAAAATGCTTTTGCAGTGCTAGTTATGAAAGTGCTGCCTTTTGTACACAATTCCCACTAAGTTTAGAACACATTCAGTGGGTAGAACTGTACTCCCAACAATTGCATTTACTGCCTGTTTTCCATTTAAAAGAAAATCTATTTTTTTTCGGAAGAGCAGTTGGTGATTTAGTGTTTTTTGGTATTGTGGAGATATAAAAATACTGTTATTATTGTTTTAAATACATTTGTTCTTGTTGAATAGGCAACAGTTAATCTGCCTTTTACATGTAATGCAAATTTATTTATGTTTTGGATTCTGACTTTCCATTGGTCTAGGATTGCAAGTCTGAATAAAAGACCAAATTTTCATTCATGTATTGCCATATTAAATTTTACAGGATTAGTTGCTTAATCTTGGCTGGATCCACATCTTTACTATTGTAGCAATTATACTGTAGTCTGTTTGAACAAATCATCATGTTTGCTATCAAAATTTTATAGTTCTTGTACAGTAACTTTGTCCTTACTGAGCTACACTTGACACCAATCCTGTGTGAAATTTATCTGAGATGTGTTAACAAATGCAAGGATAATTACTACCATTATAATGCACGCATGTATCAAAATCTGAAAAAACAGCAAATGGTCACAGTTATCTGTGAAAATAGCAGGTTACGATTTTGCTAACTTTCAAAAATAAGCATTAAATCCATTCTGAAATTAGAATGTTCAACTATGGATTTGAAAACGGCACAATAAATCTAACCTAACCTGGGGCTGAGTATTGCTGCTTGCACAGAAAAAATAAATCTTTCTTCTATCTTCTAAAAGTTCCATGCTTAGTGCAATTTAGAGAAAGTAAATAATGTAAGGAAATGGCTGTCATCTGAAAAAAGGGTTCTTTATATCTTTCTCACCCTTATGCTCCCTTACACAATTCCCACTTGTCATGCTTGCGTTTGCTTTCTCTCTCGCTTGCTCTCTCTCTCTCTTCCTTCCTCTATTGAAAGATCGGGGACAGATCGGTATGGTCCCTGAGGGCAGGGAGTCAACCCACTCAGCACTTGTTAACCTTTCAAGAGAATGCTCAGGTAGGGTGGTCCAGCAATATCAATGGCAAGCTATGCTGTTTTAGCTGTTAGATTTCAGAAGTGCCCCAGCTCACAGCCTGGGGTCCCCAAGCCTTGGCTGTTGCCAACCTGGGCCTAATAGTTTCTGGAATTAGGTAACCAGGATGCATCCCTCCAGGGAGAGGGTGCACATTCCATTCTAACAATTTATCTCTGAAATTTCCATGTGTAGGTGGGATGTATAGAATTATAAGTTTGAATTGGATAATCTTCAGTATCTTGATGGGTTTCAGCATGTGTCAGACACCCTCGTGACCCCCAAAAAAGTTCTGTGAAGCGTTTGAGATGTCTCGGTGATTTAATGAGGCACTATATCAAAAGCAAGGACTGGTTTTGCACGATTTTTTGTGTGAAACTTTTTACGACTTAGTATGTGGCAATCTTGTATCAAAGCATATCTTCTACTGATCAATGGCAGTGCCTTATCAGATGAAGTCAGTGCCTTATCACAGCATGAATGGATGACAATGTTGCCCTCTCCGTAAATTTCTTCTAGTGGAAACAGAACATCTGGAATGGGTGAGGTCACTTCACTCGCGCAATGAACTCTTGAGTTGAATACGGTCAGGCAGATTGCAAATAGATGATCAGTGATGTATTCTACTGCCCACTTAATGTTGCGTATTGCCACTTTTTTATTATGTGAGTCCTAAAATATCTGGCTGCATTATATTCAAAAGCTGCACTTGTTTTCTTTGCTCTGGCAAAACCAATTTGTAACTTGGAGTTTTGCAGAGCTCCTGACTGATAATTAGTAGCTGTATTTTAGTGGACCCCCAATATGACGCAGGGTTTCTGGCATCACCAATAGTGGAGGCTGGGTATCTGGGACCTACCCCCATTCTGTGGGCCGGAGTTTGGGATTGCCTTCCTCTCTCTCTCTCTCTCTCTCTCTCTATCTCCCCCTCCCCCCCGCCCCGTGCTGTGGGTTGGGTATTTTTGACTCACTAATTCAGGTTCCAATATACCATACAATAAAAGTTTTCCAGCTAATCAGTCAATCAAATGGCCAGTGATCATCTATTAGTTTCAGAACATAGCTCTTATGTTTAGCCGTTCACTCCAAAGTCTACAGCTCAAAGTCTACAGTTTTATATTACTCTTGCCTCTGGAGAAAGCTTAACTTGAGATAAAGTG